TAGGGTTTAAGGCTCAGGATTTAGGATTTCGGATTTAGGGTTTAGGTTTAGGGTTTAGGGTTTAAGGCTCAGGATTTAGGGTTAAGAAAGCTTACGGGCTCAGGCTTGCAGGCCCAAGCCCTACAGAATTAGCCTTTTTCAGTCCTAAGTAGGACTCATTCCCTAGTCACGATTTGCACCGGATTTGTCGCCTTGCGGTTTAGGGTTTAGTGTTTAGGGTTTCGGGTTTAGGGTTCAGGGTTTAGGGTTCAGGGTTTAGGGTTCAGGGTTTAGGGTTGAGGGTTTTGGGCTTAGGGTTTAGGGTTTAGGGTCATGGAGTTCCAGATGTGCTTTAGCAATTGAGCAATGCCCTGCTTGGGGGCTGGCTGATGCTGATAGATTTCTTGGCGTTGAGTCGGCGAACTGCCTCTGGCTTTCAGGAAGACTAGCATTGAGAGACAGTTAAGTGAAGGCTGACTAGAGCGCAGTAAGATCAAAATCCTAAGTTACATGCCTTGAACCCAACATTCCCGTTCTTTTTCTTCTTCGTCCGAACATAAGCTTAAGTGAGACTCGCAAAGTACCCCTTACGGCTTTTACGTCGAAGTCACATATTGCATACCTCCCAAAACCTGATCCCGAAGACAAGTCTGAGCCAAGAAGCCGCTAGGTACTTGGGAGGTGTAAGTCGAGACAGGCCATGCCACTTGCCCCGGCCAATAGCAGGGTCGGGCGACCTTGAACGTATCATAACCCCAACTAGGATCCCTTTTGGGGTACTTAGTATAAGTTTAGTTAAGTACTTGCCTACTTACTAAGTCCTCCGACCCTCCAAGTGCCATGGCCAGGTTCTTGATGCCAGATCAGCTTCACGCACCTGCCTCGGTGGGGATGTTTTTTCAGAGAGCGTGGTCGCTTGAACTGCGGGACTAGCAGATTACTTGCCGTAGGATAGCCCTGAACCGTGAGCTTATCGTGGGGTGTAGGGATGCTGTTGATTTATGATGTGGGCTTCAGGGCTTTGGGCACAAGATGTTCAGCGATTGCATTAGGCACCTGTGAGTGCACCGTTACAGAGGCCACATGCTACGAATGCATGCACACATACATACACACATAGACATGCATGTGCATATGCATATATATATATATATATATGCACATGCGGTTACATATGTGCAGACTATGATCGGCGTCTGCATTTGGATGTGCAATGTGTTGCTGCTAGGTCTATGCATGTGCCTGTGTATGTGTACATATATATATATATAGATCAATAGATACACATATATGTATAAGCACATGTGTAGCATGCACACGTACATGGAAAACGCACCTTGCAATGACATGGACGAGTATACACATGTGTACACACACACACGTATACATATATATATATATATATATATACATACATACATACACACATACATATGTATATATATATATATATATGTATGTATATGTACCAGTGTGTGTGTGTGTATGCATGAGTTTGTTTGTTTGTTTGTGTATGTATACCCTCGCGGCCGAAGCCCAGAAACCCAGCACCCTAACATAAAAAAAGCCTGAGTGCCATCCCGATGCCGGAGCATTAACCGAAAACCTTGAGCTGGTACTGCTCCTGCTTAACGCTGAGGCTCTCCTCTGGTCCCTTGAGGTTCTTATGCCGCACGAGCACGCACCTCAGAGCGCCAGTTGCCGATGCTGCACCTATAGCTCACCGATTTGGATCTAGATAGCCGGAAAAGCATAAACAAGCACTGCCGTCCAAAGTTTCTCCTGAGGCATGCGTTCAACAGAGCCAAGCAGCCTAAAGCGCAGATCATGCAGATGCAATGTGATGTCAAGCTCAAGATCCGAGAGCCTGCAAAAACGCCACCACCTCGAGTTCTATGTCTGCGCGAGTCTTAATCCCAAGCTTCAACTCCGAGCAGTTGCCCGGAACCCCCAGCTTTAGCATAAGCCTCTTGGTTGTGTAGGATTCCGGAACTGACGACGTACGATGTCGGTTTGACTGTTGATGCGACTGTCAATCGCGCTTGTGCTGATGTTTCATGCTGCTTTTACCTACTCGGGCTAGCATCGTCGCGCAACCGTCGTCATTCTTGCTAGCCTTCTCGTGATCACTGAGCGGCTTGTGTGCTGGCATGGTTGGTACGAGAGTTCGACACTCTATGCCTTAATCAAGGGCTTCACAGCATTCTGGGACGGTAGGAAAGCCCATGATGCTTGAACGCTCTCCCTGTTGCCTCGCCTGGGTAAGAGCTCGAGAACAAGCAAGCCCGTTACTACCCATCCTTGACGAACACACCAAGTTTTGATACACAATCCTTCGGGATCCTGTATCTTTTGCAGCGATCAGGAATCTTGAAAATACTGTTGGATCACGTAGAACCCTGGAGACGCAAAGCCATCACCGTCTCTAAAGCCTTCCTTCCGGAACCGAAAACCTGCCTCCAACCCCAAAGGTTCCAAGTAATAGTATAGTATATACTTTGGGGGCCCAAATACCGACTAAGTACTTACTATAATGGTACTTAGACCCTTTGACAACCGTCTCAAAAGCTTCCTGCTGTGCAGTTTCGAGACGAAGCGCAACATTGAGTCGAAGGTCAAAGCCTTTATCAAAATGAGGCCGGTCGAAATGCAGTTCAGGCTTTGCATGGGTTCGAAGAGCTTGAAGATTTCGAGGCTTGAGCTTTCAGCTGAGAGGGCGTGAGATATTTGTTGCTGCCGTCTGTAATATTTCTTGAGCCCTGTCTGTAGCTCTAAGCACAAATTTCCGCATAGCGATGAACTTCAAGACTCCAGACTCCACCCAGTTTTGGCTGCAGAACATCAACCTCAGCAACATAAGCGGTCTGACGAGTCAGTACTGATATCCCCCTCATAATGCGACAATATATCCTGATTCACTATTCTAAGCACTCCGGCCCCTACTCGTACACTACAATCCTCACAGTCACTTGTTGTTAACCCTGATAGAACCCCTGAAGCAGCCCTTATAGAAACCTTTTTCTAGCAAGGCCCCTACGTTTTTCGGTTCGATGGTTGCATCGGGGGGGGGGGGGTGTTAAAATTTAAAAGCAGGGCTCGCTTCTGCTGTTGTTCAACCACGTGTGCTAGTGGCCAGTGGTGTCCACAGGTTAGGGTTTAGGTTTGTGATGGTTTGTGGTTGAGTTTTTTGGGAAGGGTTTGGCGTTTTAGGCTCCTTGGTCGGTTTTGCATTGTGGATGGTTTGGGGTGAGAAGCTCGGTAACTCGATAGAGTCTGGGTTGAGAAAAATTTATAACGCGTTCGGGTACAGGTTTAGAGGTCCTGTCATCGAAGATGCGAAGTGGTCTGGAGATGCGGTTTCGTCCCGAACCCCTAATATCCAGATCGACAACAGAAACCTTCCTCCTGTACTCGGCCTAAGGAAAGGGTGTACAGGGCCTCGTCCGTCCAACTTATGTGGACAGTTCTTGGCGTCCGAAGAAGACAGAGAACCTTCATCATCGGCATGTTTGGTCCCCGTCCCCTTTTGGTTTTTTCATCTGTGTGCCCAAGCCGTGTAAAGCCCGCAAGTCCGAGCGATAACCACGAACTTCAGCCCACAGTTCTAGATTTTTGGAGATTTGACTTATAAATGTCTGAGTGTCTACGGGGCCAAGCCGGTTGCTGCCATTTGTTGTCTGTTACCGTTGCCGCCAGGTACAAGCACGGCCACTTGGCTGCACACCTCAAGAGCCTAATTTCATGAACTTTAATGGTGGAATTTGGCTGAACGTACTAAGTTGAGAAAACAACCAGTTGACAGGACTGGAGGAGTGTTCCTGTAAAGGGAAGTTGCGGGCTCTCTGCACCGAAGGCTACCTGCTGCCCCTGTGACGGCTTCACGGTGTAGCGTCTTGGAGGTTACCCTACGTTACCCTACGGGCCCAAGTGTTGAAATGGTATGCACTGCTGAAGTTCTTGGAGCCTGTGAGGTTCGTCCCAGTGAAGAATGCAGTCTTAGCCAGATCCTGTTTGTAGAAACCAGCAACACGACAAGCCCCTTAAAGGTCATCTATTCAGAAAACGCCCAAACTCCCTAACCACAAGCCCTACATCAAAACTTGAAATTTACACCCGGAGCCAGCAAACCTAAATCCGAAACCCTAAAAACCCTGCAGTAGCGAGTCCAAACCGTTCGGTAGCCGAAGCCGTTTTTGCTCGCGTACATCTTACGTTCAAGCTAGTTCTCCCTGTTGTCGTATCCCTGCTGCGCCACTTGGCTCCCTGCTGCGCAGCTCAGCTTGAAAAATGAAAACCAATCCCTTCTGCGGAAAAATCCTGCTCAAGAAGCAGCCAGCCACTCAGGATCAAGCTTGTGAAACAGTTTTTGTGCGATTCCTGTTGTTACCGGTGTGGAGGCGATTTGGTCAAAGGTGACATGCTGTGTAACAGCCACCGCTCCAAGTTGTCGCGCTGCGTACATTTGCCTTGATGGTGCTTGTGCGCGCCTTCCTGCATTGGACGAGGAAGATGCGTCAGCCGGTATAGACTTTGACCACGATGGGCGCGGTCTGGCTACTTTTTCACCATCTGTGGCTGCAGCAAGACAAACTGCGAGACCGCCGGAAGGGGGGGAGCAGGCCCATGAGCTGGGCTTTGTGGCAGAGGACTTTTGGTCCTGGTCCTCCACATTCTGCTGCTGCATGTCAAGGGCCGTAGCCAAGAAGCACAAAAGTGAGGGGGCCGGGCTGATGACTCAGCCGTCACACACACAATGCACGAGGGTCGGATTTCAACCTTCGTATGGACCTTTGCAGCCCTCCAAAGTCAACTGCAGGATTCCAAGATTTTCATCCCAATGACTAACGTAACATCGCTCCAAATGCAAACCGCCGGCTGATCCAAGACCGTGTCTAAGACCTAGCAGCATTATTGCATGTGCAAGGACCTGCGCTTTGTCGGCGTTTCCAGCTGTGCGACCAGCTCTGATAAACCTGCGGTTGAAGACATGTAGAGTGATTGTGAAAGAGCTGCACTGCTCCATGCCGATCTTCTACTTTTCCCAATGTTTGGCACGAATACAGCCCAGTCGTAACCATCCACGCCTGGCATGACTGACTGCGAGCGTCAAAACAACGCAGCAATGCTTTAGCACCCCTATACTCGATTGAGCGGATGCACTACCGGTTCTACGGGCTCTTTGATGGGCCTAGGGTGACATAAGGGGGGTCTATAAGGTTGTAGGGTTTGCGGTTAAGGCGCCAAGGTTGTTTTGCACTTTGGGGCTTTGGGCTTGTAGGCTTGAATGATCACATGTGGGTGTTGGGGTGTGAAGCTTTCGGTTATCCGAGGTTTGGCACACGTTGTCGACCGCTACGGCGACGAGCGTGTTCACAAAGTGACCACCGGGTGGCTTGGCCGAAGCACAAGCGGTTTCAAGTTTAAGGGATTATATACAGCTGGCCGTGGTGCGTTCGACTCTTCACGTTGAAATCGTGGGGCTCTAAGGATTGCATGGTTGTAGGGCTTCAAGGGTCCACCTAGTATTCAATGCATTACAGCCGGCCTCAGGACCTTGGGGTTTATGGGGTTCTACCTGGCTTTCGGGATATTCAACTATATGGAGATGCTGAGATAAAAAAAGGTTTGCGTGTAGTGGGCCTGAAGGGTTTAACGATATTGTGGGTTCAGGCTTTCGGACAGAACACCATCGACAAGGACAGTGACCGCCACGTCACATGCTAAGATAGCTCCATCACGACAAGGACAAGCACCATGCAGAAATGCAGCCGTCCCACCTGCTATGTCGATGTTACACATGGCATGTTGACTCGCATCGCTCGTTTCAAATTATAACTGCTTGGACTTGCATGTAGTTTCAAGGCATTTCGGTTTAAGCTTGAGGCATCCAGGGCATGCCAGAGCCGCTGTAGTACTTTGATGTATTTTTCCTTATACATATATTCTGGAATCCTAACAATCCAGGCTTCCCCAAACCCGAAAAAGTAAACCTGCTTCGAACGGACCTTTGCCGTGCTAGGCGGATCGAACCTTATGTGGACGTCGACAAGAAGATCCCAATAGAGCTGAGGCGCTCGTTTAGCTCCGCCAGGGAAATACAAAGCCAACCGAAAAATTGGGTAATGCGGTCACCTTGTCTTTATGGAGTTAACCCTTAACCTCCAACCCCTAAACCCGAAGCTTTGGGCGCGGTTCGTTCCATTGCTTGGAGGTTTAGAGCTGAGGGAGTTCACCGCTTCGGGCCGTCCGCGGTTAAGGTTGCAGGGCTCTTGGTTCAATGTCTGGGGTCTTGGAGTGTAAGGTTTTGCTGTGCAGGGGCAGTGGTTTTAGGGCGTAGTTGTTGTTTCGCTGTTTGGGATTTGGAGCTTCAGGGTCCCTTCCACACGTCCTCTCCCAGACCCTGAACTTTCAACCCTAACTCCCTGAAGCCCTAAACCCTGCAAACAACCGCACACGCCCTAAAGCAGTCGAAAAGCTAAGCCGACACGGTGGTTTCTGAGCTCGAAATGCCCACGGAAAACAGTGGTGCCCAATGCTAAAGCCCAAAAACCACACAATTCCTGGGCTTCGCTCAGCCTTCTCGATTCCCCAAAGCCTAGGCCCTAGGCTCAGCCTCAATCCATTCGACATTACAGTACAACCTCGGCCCTACTGTAGATTTTCAAGTAACCCCCTTCCCTAAACCCCTTGTAAGCTCGAACAAAAAAAGCACACCGACATCCCTTAAAAGGCGAAGGCTTATGGACCCTCAGCCCTCTAAAGCCTGTAGGCCCTATAAACCCTAGAAGCCCTTCAACGAGACAAGCCTTACGAATCCATCAAACTCTATAGACCCCACCAAGCCGGAAGCTTTTTCCGGATCCATGCAGTTGGCAGGAATGCCGCGCAGCTGGTCGCTGCGAGGGACCTAGGGGAGGTGCGGATCCTTCAAGGAGGGTTTAGGGCGTAGGGTGTGGTTTTAAGTTGAGGGCTTCAGAGTTAAGGCTTTGGGGCATGGCCCCTGCGGAAGGATGACGCGCACACATCGAGAAGGCTTTAGGGTTTTTTGTTGAATCTCAGGTTTGTACATAGGCTTGAGGGGTTTGGCCCACGTGGGGTTTAGGACGATTGGTTCAGGATTCAGTCGGTGGGGTCTAGCATCCACTGGGGACTGACAGGCTCTATATGTACTGGCCTGCAGTGTGTCTGGGATTGTGCCAGGGTTGTTGTACCGGGCCAAACTGGTCTGTCGCGTAAAGCAACACTTTCGGCTTTTTACTATTGAACTTTGCAGGAGTCTGCAAACCTGGGTTTCGAAACTCTTCACCCTAAAGTAGCCTCCTATACTGTAGCCGTTGCCCATCAGCGGAAGAGAGCGTCGTGTCGTGGCCATAGCAAGCATCCCTGAAAGCCTTGACCAGAACGGCCCGGACGTGCCGAACGTGCGCCGGAAACTGTCGGGTCGGCCACGCTGGAGCGTTGCGACTTGGGTGTGGGCCTCAGTGAATCCGGGTTTCTGGGCTGTAGGGCTTGGGAGTAGAACGCTCTTTGATTCCGGGGTTTGAGGTTTCGGATTTGGGGTTTAGGGCAGTAGGTCGAGTCCCTTCTGAAAAAGGAGCTGCTTCTTGGATTTGCAGTTTTGGGTTTCGGGCCAAAGATCGGAGCAAAGATCCTTACCTGCTCATACTGCAGGTCGATCCAGAGAAACGCTTCGTGGCGTTTGCAGCTCGTGAGAAGCAGAAGGCCTTGATTTAGGGCTTTGGGGGGTTGGGAGTTTAGGGTTCTGGGGGTTTTAGGGCGATAGAGGTTGAAGGTGAGTAGGGTTTGGGGAACACTTGACTTGAGGCTTCAGGGTTTGTGTTGAGGAGATGCGGCTGGCTTTTCGCGGGGGTTTCACCAAACAGCAGTTTCGCACTACTGTGCATGGGTGCCATATTCCACAAGTCACAGTAAACCCTTGGCTGAGAATTCTATAGAGTTCTCGATCTCTACAGCCTACATGCTCGACACTTGTAGAAACTTGATAGATGCACTTCTCGAACCTTTGCAACATCCACTTAGAACCCCTATACTACTGTTGATGGACAAAATCCTGCATGCGCCAAATATAGTATAGTACCATAAACCCTATAGTTTAGGTATATAAGGTCGTGCAGGATTTTGTCCATCAACAGTAGTCCTTCCAGCCTCTGATCTGAACCCTCATGCTTCAACCAGTGATTCAAACCCTTATCCCCATCAAGGCCCCTCATTCTATCCCCTAAACCCCCTAATTCAGCCCTAGACCATAAACCCCCCAAACCTTCAAACAGCATAAACCCGTAAATCCTCTTAGTAAGCCCCAACCTGACACCCAAAGCTCCTCAAACTCTGAAACTCTGAAAGTCTCACCGACATCCGGACCCTTAACCTACCAGGAACCTCGCCCGGCTTGTCCCAGTTGTGAGTGCTGAAACCCAAAACCCTAAGCCCTAGGCCCTAAGCCCTAAACCCTAAACCCTAAGCCCTAAGCCCTGAACCCTAAACCCTAAGCCTTATAAGCCTTACTAAAGCCCTAAGCCCCAAACCCCCAAAGCCCTGAAGCCCTAAGCCCCAAACCCCCAAAGCCCTGAAGCCCTAAGCCCCAAAGCCCCAAAGCCCCAAACCCCCAAAGCCCTAAAGCCCTAAACCCCCAAAGCCCTAAATCCTAAATCCGCCCCGAAGAGCTCCAGGCCTTGGAAGCTGCGAGAGTGAAAGCCCTGCAGGTGCCATGGGGATTCAGGGGTTTAGGGTTTAGGATTTTAAGAATTAGGGTTGAGGGTTTAGGGTTTCAGGGCTTGGGTTTAGGATTTTAAGAATTTGGGTTCAGGGTTTAGGATTTTTGGTTCAGGGCTTGGGTTTAGGATTTTTTTCGAATTAGGGTTGAGGGTTTAGGATTTGAGGTTTCGGGCTGAGGGTTGTCATGTTTGAAGTTCGTGAAATAAAGGATGACAAGTGCTTTTCCGAGCGTGAAAAAATGCATAGTACATGACAGCACTCGAGGCTTAGGTGCAAGGGAAGCTGTCGCAGACAGCTCATCGGATCCAGCTCATTCGTTTAGGTCGAAGGTTTTAGGCTTTAGGAGTCAGTTCCTTTCAGCACTTTATGGTGTGGAAGCGCATGCTCGGGACGGCTTCGGCATGCAGTCCCAGAGCGATCCGAAAAACTCGAAAAACCCCCGGCGCTTGAATGAGGCCCAAAGTGTAGTTAGATCTCCAAAAAACACACCTCCTGGGCACAGCTCACTCCCAGCCCCCGGGGTAAATCCTCGAGCAAAGTGCCGGGAAGATGGACTCTCAAGCACGAATTTGTTCTGAAGGGTTTAAGGTTTAGGGGTGTAGGAACCCCTAAGCCCTAAACGGTAAACTCCTAGATACCTTGGTGCAACATCGCATTTTGGGGCATGGAGTCTTGAACGGGGCTGGGGACCTTCTCTCGGCCAAGGCCGCCGCCGAAGAGGAGGAGCAGTCCGCCCTGCCTGGTACTCAGAGCTTCTTCTATGAGTCTCGGGGAGATAAGGTGTTCTGGGAGTCCGTGATGTTGTTTCCAGTGGAGATGAACATGAATGAAAAGAGGGGGGCCGACAGTGCAATGGAGATGAAGACGAGACAAGTTTTCCCGTGTGATGGCGATAATGATGATGATGATGGCAACGGTGATGATAGTGACATTCGTAGTGGCAGACGTGATGAGGTACACGGCAGCTGACTACTGTTATCCGTCCGTGTTGAGCATATCCATGGCTGCTTCTGCAATATTGGCATGGCTACCTACGCAATTGTTAGAGGTATGGGTGGCATGTTAGTGGCATGCCCGGTCGCTTTGCTGGCTACTTTCCTTCGGTTTTTATCGGTTCTAATTAGTTGCGTTTGTGAAGGCTTATTCTTCGTGGCACGGCAGATGTCCGACTTGTTGTTTTTCTCCCATTTCGTGTCCGGCAAAAAGCAGCCCGGCCAGGACACTAACGCAACCAGAGTCGAACATGTAACACGCATAACAGGCAGCACACGGTACATGCATGTGCTGCTGGCGCGTATCTACAGTACCTACCCTATAACCTCATACACACACACACACACAAAAGCGAACATGCTGAGGTTTTTACATCTGCGGGATTGGTCACCGTGTCCATCTCGACCCGAACCGCTTATTATCGCCAGTAGCAGGCAAATGCGACCCCTTCGTTAACGTGGGCAAGAGACTCGCATAAACCTTAAACTGAACATGAACGCCACCAAAAAAAAGCATTGCCCACACGTTTACAACCACGTCGCCGTGTTGCTTGGTTGCTGCTTACACCTCAGGCCTTTAACCCGAAACCTGATAAGTGTCACCTATGCTCCACCCATCTATCGGATCTGTCAAGTAGGTAGGTAGAACTATCCTAAATTTTCCTCAATACTTCTTGCAACCCGCAAACCGTACAAAATGGTAGGCTATGATCCCTTTCTTAATTGGCCTTTCTGATGCAGGCAGGAGCAGCGCCAAGAAGCAACATGAGGTTCTGGAAGGCTCACTGGGTTGGCATGTTTTGATTGAGGCTTTTTGCCTCAAGCCTAAACCCTACGCCCCACTAGGCTAAACCGTAGACCGCTAGGTTTCGAGGTTTTGGGCTGTGCGCATGGGTTCCGGGGCAGACCCAGGATTCTATGACATAAGATGGGCTCTTATCAATTTACGAAGTGTCGACAAGGCTTGGGGTGCTCTGGGATCAGGGGCCATGCTTTTCTGTGAATAACGCTGGATAGGTGCTAGGCCCCTTTGCAGGGTCGGGGAAGAATCGCTCTGGAAGATCCTGAAGTATTGAATTCCGTTCGCCAACAGGAGGTTCTCGTTGTGCACAGTGTCCTAGATACCCCAAAGCCCAACAGACTCTAAACCCTTCCGATGTTATCTACTACAGACCTTACCTGAACATGTCCCCGTGTGCGCGTCAAAACCCTGACGGATTGAGGGTTCTACAGTGCTTCGGGTTCTGAACCTTAAACCCACAGTTTAGGGTTTCCTGATGAACGTGTGTTGAAGGTCCAAGGTGGGATGCTGCTTTCCGTGTGTGTTCGGTGGATGTGTTGAGGGTTTAGGGTTCGAGGTTTGGGATGAAAGGGATAGATAGAATTCGAAGTTACTGGGAAGTAGGACGTCTACAGTCGATGGCGTACACTAGTGGTGTTGGATTCAGCAGGATCCCCTGGCCAAAGTGGCTTCCTGCCTTTGCGGTTTAGGCTTCTCCTCAGCCTTAAACTCGAATGAAGCCATACTGCTTGTTCTTGCTCCCAAGCTCGAAGCATGAGTCTTCAATCATGCCCGACATTTGTCCAATATATTTTGCGAACGCCCTCAATTCCGCAATAAGCGTTGCATTTCAGATGGCGCTTTCGACCGTGATCGAGCTGCAAACCGGAACTACGGTCTGTTTCACCAGCGAAGCGCTGGCCGTCCGCCTTGCAGGAGAGATAAAATTCAGATAATCTGATTTATATAATCTAGAAATTTTGAAAATTCGATAATAAAAGATCGGGCAATATTGAGACCATTAAATCATTAAATATAAATTCTCAAATGAAGAAGGCAAAAATTAAATCTTGAAAACAATTTATAGATATTGAATTTGGCTTTTCTTGAAATAAGATTTTCTTTCTGGAGATAGATTTTATTTCGATATGAAATCTATTGAGATATGTTTGCTATATAAATATATGATTTATATAATTCGATATCAGAGATATATTTTTAATTTTGAGAAGAATAATTTCGTTGATTTTTCAGAATAAAGTAAGTATGAATATTATATATTAAGATATTTGATTATTATTATTATATAAGATTCTAGCGATTCAATTTTGAAGAGAGATATGAAAATTCTGATATATTGAGATTATATTCGGAGGCATTGATTTAGATAATTTGAATTATTTTCTCTTAGCAAAATAGAATCGAATGAAAAATTTATATAGATATTCTTAGAATTTAATTTCTTCTTCTTCTGAATACTTAAGTTCGATATAATATGTAGAATCTTATAATACATGCATGTAGCACATATAGCATGCGAAA